GACACATAGATGAGCTGAGTCCCAGATGCTCCAGCTTGGTGGTGAGTGTGGAGGGAATTATGGTGTTATGGTGTCAACAGACATTATACACAATGTAAAAGATCAAATGTAAATAATGTAAAAAATATAAAATCTGTAGATCAACAAAAGGCTTGTTTGAACAGAAAAGTTTTTAACTGCTTTTTAAAAGAATCCACAGAGTCAAGCAAACGTAATTGTGGTAAACTGTTCCACAGCCTTGGTGCAACAGACTGAAAGGCTCTGTCCCCTTTTGTCTTCAGTCGTGTACGGGAACCAACACACTCTGAGTCTGTGAGCGGAGATGACGAGCAGCAGTGTATTTTATAAAAAGCTTGGATAAATAATCTGGAGCCATTTAGTGCTCTGTATGTTAAAACAAGAATTTTAAAGCGAATTCTAAACTCTATTGGGAGCCAATGTAAAGAATATAAGATGGGAGTGATGTGAACACGCTTGGTAGAGCGAGTTAGTAGTCTGGCTGCTGCGTTTTGTATTGTCTGGAGGCGAGAGAGAGATGATTTATCCAAACTAGTAAACAGGGAATTACAGTAATCTAAGCGTGATGACAGAAATGCATGAATGAGTTTTTCCAGTTCAGCTGAAGAAACCATATGTCGCAGTTTAGAGATGTTTCTTAAATGATAGTAACAGGACAAAGATTTTACATGAGAGTCAAAACCCAGAGAAGAATCAAATATTACTCCAAGATTTCGAATATTTGGCTTGACAGATGGACCTGACTAATTTTAGAATGGAGCTCAGGAGGAGCTATGATCATGGTCTCGGTCTTGTTAGTATTTAGAACGAGGTAGTTGCTTGAAAGCCAATCAGAAACCTCGGTTAAGCACTGGACTAGGGTGGACAGCCTATCCTGCTGATGAGGCTTAAAGGACATATGGAGCTGAATGTCATCAGCATAAAAATGATAAGACAGGTCGCTAAAAGATTGAATGATACCAGCTAAAGGAAGCATATAAAAAGAAAATAATAATGGACCTAAAACTGAACTCTGTGGGACCCCACAGGTCAGGGCAGCAATGTCAGGGGTGAACCTGTCAGTCCTAACAGAAAAGGTCCTGTCTGATAAATAGGAAGAAAACCAGTCTAGGGCAGAGCCAAAACCTTGAGCCTGTTAAGTAGGATTTTGTGGTCGATGGTGTCATAGGCAGCGCTAAGATCAAGCAAAATGATCACAGAATAATTCCCTGCATCAGATGCCATTAACAGATCATTATAGACTATTATATTATATTATAAGTCCCATAGTTAAGTTAATTAGCAGTCATTTACACAGCAAAAAAAAATGTTTCTTTGATTGAGTTAATTTGGTTCATTTCTCTCATTACACTGTATCATACTACACTGCATTCAAAATGATGGAACACGTTTGGTTTACACTGTTTTGACTCTGATTTATAGAAGTTGCATGAATAATTAATCATTTTTCCATCCATCCATCTTCTTCTGCTTATCCGGGGCCGGGTCCCGGGGGCAGCAGCCCAAGGAGAGAAGCCCAGACCTCCCTCTCCCCAGCCACCTCCTCCAGCTTGTCTGGGGGAACAACAAGGAGTTCCCAGGCCAGCCGAGAGTTATAATCTCTCCAACGTGTCCTGGACTGATTATTAATTTTTTCCCTAGCTTTTTGAGTTATGTGTCAGCTAGTACAGTCCTTGCTGGTCTGAGCAAAGAGGAGGCACAGGGTGGAAATGGTTGAAATGCAAAGGCCACCCACATGGACTGAACCATCTGCTGTAACGGCATGAAGTTCTCATTACCTCCACCAAAGAGGTTAGCATTTGCATGCATGCGTATCATTCTGTCTGAAACAGGATAGCTTGAAAAGTTTGGAATGATTTCTGATAAAAATTGTAGGGGTCTAGAGTGGGGTCATGTTAACAATTTATTCAAATTTAGTGTTCACGGCCAACTCAAAGCTGACAAAAAGCCTCATAACTTACTGTGTGTACTGTCAACATATAGAAAGTACTGCACAAAGATTTAAAATATCATATTACATTTGACTTCTGACCTCTCCTTCAAGGTCAATAGAATAATAAAGTCAAAGTGATAATAATGCTGTGTACAGGTATTTAAAACTGTTTCTTACTGCCTTTGTTTGTATTGACAACAAATAGAGAATGATATATGGGGATTGTAAATATCATGTTATTTTATCTTGTTATGTACATGACAGTAACATATTTTATATAGTATAATAATTATATATTAGAACTGTTTAAATGCACAATAATTTGAATGCATGTACAATGTTCCTTAATAAGTTGAGGGGTTTTTGGACAACAAACTAAAAAACAAAACTTTTTGCTAAACATTTAAATGAATTTTAGTAAACAATGAAGATTAGTTTGATGAGTTAGTGTTTTTTGTTCACTAGTGTTTTTGAGTAACGCTTACTTTCAGTGTTTTGTTTTTTTGGACATTTTGGTCAAATTAAACCCACTTTTTGAAAATTACACCTGTGCTTGTATTTTCATGTGGTCAGTCCCTTAAATGCAGCAATGCATGCATCGCATCAGCACATCAAGAACAGGAGAGCATTTTTTGGGGCAAAAATGGCATCCGATATTTTAAAATTATTCTATACATCTCACGTTTGACCACCTAGAGGATGATTCTGGCTTATTTCACACCCCTGGTCTAGACTGATTGTAGTTGTAGATTATATAAAAATGTAGCAGCTTGCAATAAATCAACTGGGATCCCAGACAAAAGTTGAAAAATGTGTTTAATAGAGACTCTGGTGCACTGAGGAAAGTGTTGCATCTATGGCCACTGATTCACCATCTGCACTGACTTTTTAAAGATAGTGGGGTTTATCGCTATACGGGTTGCTCCTGATAGGGGTAACACTTCTGACACACCCACAAAAAAAGAAAGCTTACCTTAAAGCCCCATTGCCCACAACTGTGCCTTTTCATTAAAGCAGTTTGCTGTTTGTCCCTGAAAGATCAGCAAATGGTTGCGCACGTGTTTCAGATCGAAAGGGGCCCCAGTTCCTCCAGAAGCCACTCTGCAGTTCAAGCACCACTTCTGTCAGTCAAATGGAGCAGGTGGTGTGGCTGGATGAAAAGGTAGGGGAAG